GTTGGCTAAGGGTTTGTCAGTTTTGTTTATTCTTTCAAAGAACCAACTCTTGGCTTCATTGATTTTTTTGTATGATTCTCTTAGTCTCCATTGCTTTGATTTCCAGCCTAATCTTTATAATTTCCTCCCTTGTATGAGCTTTGTGTTTGTCCTGCTCTTCTTTTTCTAGACGCTTGAGGTTCAGCATCAGGTTGTTTAATTGGGCTCACTGTGTTTTCCTAATATGAGTATTCACTGCTTTGAATTTCCCTCATAAGACTGCTTTCATTGTGTCCCATAGATTCCAATATGTTGTATTTACATTGTCATTTAATTGTAGGAACTCTCCGGTTTCTTCTTTAATTTCCTCTGTTACCCATTGGTTATTCAGAAGTGTGTTTTTCAATTTCCATATGTTTATGAAATTCTTGTGGTTTCTTTTGGTATTGATCTCCAATTTCATCACAGTATGGTCTGATAATATACAGGAGATTACTTCAGTTCCCTTGCACGTACTTAAACATGTTCTATGAGCGAGTATGTGGTCTATTTTGGAGAACGACCTGTGTTCAGCTGAAAAGAATGTGTATTCTGATTTTGTGGGGTGGAACACTGTAAACATCTGTTAAATTCATTTGTTCAAGAGCTTGATTGAGTTCTAGTATTTCATTACTTATTTTTAGTCTAGTTTATCTGTTTGTAACAGTGGGTTATTGAGGTCCCCCACTAGTATTGTATTAGTGCTTATATGATTTTTCATGTCCATTAGTATTTATTTTATATAGTTGGGCACACTAGATTTGGTGCATAGATATTAATGATTGTCATCTCTTCCTCTTGGATTGTTTCTTTTACAAGGATGTAGTGTCCTTCTTTGTCTCTCTTAATCAGTGTTGGTTTGTAATCCACTTGATTTGCAAAGAGGATAGCTACTCCTGCTTTTTTCGGGTTCCTGTTGCATGGAGTATTGTTTTCCACACTTTAACTTTCAGTCTATGAGTTTCTTTTTGAATTAAGTGTGTTTCTTGTATGCAGCATATTGCTGGATATTGCTTCGTGACCCATTCTGCTAGTCTGTTTCTTTTGATTGGTGAATTGAGACCGTTAACATTGGTGTTTATAACTGATACATATTGACTTATCCTTGTCATAGCTTTTTCTTTTTATTGGATTCTCCCCCTTTGTGTTTAAGTTCTTGTCGGGCCCGATGCATTCATTTTGAGGGGCTTCCTGGGGTTGTGATCCTCATTGTCTGTTCCTTGGATATTGTCTAAAATTTTTTGGAGTGCTACTTTGGTATTCCTGAAGTTCCTAAGGTGCTCTTTGCCGTGAAAGTATCTTATTTCTCCATCAATTTTGAAAGATAGTTTTGCAGAGTACATCAGTCTGGGTTGGAGGCTGTTTTCCTTTAGGCCTTGAAATCCATCACTCCAAGCTCTTCTTGCCTTGAGGGTTTGCATTGTGAAATCTGCTGTGATTCTGATAGGGTTTCCTTTATATGTGATTTGTTTATTTTCTCTGCTTGTAGAATTTTGTTCTTCTGTTGGGTTTGTGTAGTCTTAAGTATTGTATGCCTATGTGTAGATTTTTTTGATTAAGGCTAGCTGGAGTCCTATATGCCTCACTTATCTGTATGTCAAGTTTTTTTCCCCTCCTTGGGAAGTTTTCTGCCATAACTTCTGTGAATAGTTTTTTTATGTTGTCTGCACTCTGTCCTGTTTCTTCCTTGACTCTGATCAGTCTTATGTTATTCTTCTTTGCATCGTCTAGCAGCTGCTGGATTGATTTCTCATGGTCCCTTACTATTTGAGAGCAATTTTTCTTTTCCTGGTCACTAATTGCAATCTTCCCTTCTATATCTGAAATTCTGTCCTCACATTGGCTCATTCTGCTGCATAGACTTTCAATGGAGGTTTTAATCTTCTGGATATCTGTTTGCATCTGTTTTATGGATTCCATTTGTTTCCTATGTTGGGATTCCATCATGTTCCTTGGCTCCTATATTTTTTTATCTGTGTCCTCTCTCAATTTATTAATCATGTTGTGCACTATTGGCACAATCTCTGTTGTTATCTGAGAAATTATTTCTGATTTCATTTTTTCCAGATCTTCTTTTGTTGCCAATTCAGGGCATCTAGGTGATTGAGTATCAGATTGTTCCATCTCGTTTCCCTTTGGGGATGCTTTAGGTGATGTGGAAGTCTGGTTTTGAGACTTGTTTATGTGTCTTCTCCTTTCAGGGGGGTTGGGGGTGGAATGGGGGTGGGTGTGCTGCTGGAGCCTGTCTGGCTCACCTCCTTGGCACTGGGGGCCGCTATATTCCTTGGCAGTGAGGGCCATGGTAAGGTGGCACTGGGGGTCGCTATATTCCTTGGCGGTGGGGGCCGTGGTAAGGTAGCTGGAGGTTTCACCTCCTTTGTGCTGGTGCCTGTTCCGTTCCTTGGTGCTGGGGTCAGTGGTATGGCAGCCTGGAAGGTTCACCTCCTTGCTACTGGGTGGGTGGGCTCTGCTCCTCGGTGCTTGGGGCAGTCGTCCAGTGGCTCGGAAGGTTCACTTCCTCTGCCCTTGGGGGTGGCTCTGCTCTTCAGTGCTGGGGTAGGTGGTATGGCGGCCTGGAAGGTTCCGATCCTCTTGATTTCTGCTGAATTTGTTATGACTTCTCTTTTTTGTTCTTAATTGCTTGGATTTGAGCCTTTTCTTTCCTTTTTTTGGTAAGGTTGGCTAAGGGTTTATTGATTTTATTTGTTCTTTCAAAAAACCAACTCTTCAATTCATTGATTTTTGTTATCGTTCTCTTAGTCTCCATTGCATTGATTTCTGCTCTGATCTTTATTATTTCCTCCCTTGTACAAGCTTTGGATTTGTCTTGCTCTTCTTTTTCTAGGAGCTTGAGGTTAAGTTTTAGGTTCTTTTTTTGAGCTCTCTCTGTTTTCTTAGTATGGGCATTCACTGCTATGAATTTCCCTTGTAGAAGTGCTTTCATTGTGTCCCACAGATTCCTATATGTTGTATTGGTATTATCATTCAATTGTAGAAACTGTCTAATTTCTTTAATTTCCTCTGTGACCCATTGGTTGTTCAGGAGAGTGTTATTCAATTTCCATGTGTTTGTGGGGTTCTTGTTTTTCGTATGCTATTGATCTCCAATTTTATTGCAGCATGGTCTGATAATATACAGGGGATAACTTCAATTCCTTTGCATTTATTTAAGCATGTCCTATAAGCTAGCATGTGATCTGTTTCAGAGAATGACCCATGTGCATCCAAAAAGAATGTGTATTCTGATTTTGTGGGGTGAAACACTCTGTAGACATCTATTAAGTCCATTTGTTCAAACGTTTGGTTCAGTTCTATTATTTCATTGTTGATTTTCTGTCTAGATGATCTGTCTATTTGTGACAGTGGAATATTGATGTCTCCTACTACAAGTGTATTAGTGTGTATTAGGTTTTTCACATTCGTTAATATTTGTTTTGTATAGTTGGGAGCACTAGTATTTGGTGCATATATATTTACAGTTGTCATTTCTTCTTGGATTGTTCCCTTTGCAAAGATGTAATGACCTTCTTTGTCCCTCTTAATTAGTTTTAGTTTAAAATCTACCTTGTCTGCAAATGAAATAGCTGCCCCTGCTATTTTCCGGGTTCCTGTCGCATGGAGAGTTGTTTTCCATCCTTTTACTTTCAGTCTATGAATTTCTTTTTGAATTAAGTATGTTTCTTGCATGCAGCATATTGTTGGATTTTGCTTTTTATTCCTTTCTACCAGTCTGTTTCTTTTGATTGGCAAGCTGAGGTCATTAACATTGATGGGTTATAATTGATACGTATTGACTCATCCTTGTCATGTTATTTTACTGTTGTTGGTTCTTTTATTTTTTATTTTTCCCCCTTTCCCTTTAATTTCTTGCCTTTCCTGATGGCATAGCTCTGTTGGTCCTCATGGAATTATGACCCTCATTGTCTCTTTCTGGGATATTGCTTAGAATTGTGTGGTGTGCTGGTTTGGGATTCGTGAGGTTTCTCAGGTGTTCTTTGTCATGGAAGTATCTAGTTTCCCCATCAATTTTTTTTTTTTGGTACCGGGGATTGAACTCGGGTCCTTGTGCTTGCGCAGCAGGCGGCAAAACCACTGAGCTAAATCCCCATCCCCTCCCCATCAATTTTGAAAGATAATTTTACAGGATACAGCAGTCTTGGTTGGAAGTTATTTTCTTTTAGGGCTTGAAATACCTCACTGCAGGCTCTCCTTGACTTGAGAGTTTGTGTTGAAAAGTCCACTGTAATTCTGATGGGCTTCCCTTTGTATGTAATTTCTTTCTTTTCTCTAATTGCCTGTAGGATTTTGATCTTCTGTTGAGTTTCTGGGATCTTGACTATTATATGTCTTAGGTGTAGATTCTTTTCTATCATGGCTAGTTGAAGTTCTATATGTCTCACTTATCTGTATGTCAAATTCTTTTCCTCTCTTTGGGAAGTTTTCTGTCATTAATTCTGTGAACAGATTTTTTATGTCATTTGTACTTTCTCCTGCTTTTTCCTTGTGCTCTTTTGTCATCTGTCCCTCCCCAAACTGCAGCCTTCAGCATCTACTGATTAACCACATCTGTATAGATTTGCTTTTTTTTTTTTGGTACCAGGGATCAAACTTGGGACCTTGTGCTTGCGAGGCAGGTGGCAGAACCACTGAGCTAAATCTCTGGCCTTAGTTTTGCTTCTAAGATAACTTTTAATTGAAAGAAACAGATGTAAAAATGACTAAAATAAAGTAGTACACGATAAATACTATAATCATGTGTGCTTGTGGGGGTGACTAAGGTTACTTATTTTGTGGGAGCAGTTAACTTGTGATCAATTAATTTACTTTTCATAACTTTGGAGAACTATGCTTCCTAAAAGGAATGTGAATTCTTTAAAATGGCAATATTATTTCTTATGTTAGCAGTGGACAGTCATAAAAAATGATTGCCTACTTTATATGGTTCTTTACTAAGTAATTATACACACTAATTTTTATTTCAGTGAATTTGGGTGGTTTGAAAGATCACATTAAAGAGATCCAAAGGTGTCGGCGTTTGATTCTTATTGCTTGCGGAACAAGTTACCATGCTGGTATGGCAGTAAGTGGCCTATAAATTTTTAATTATGTCATGTTGGATATTGGAGGATACCTGCAGACCAGTAGTACCTCTAGTAACACATCATGTAGAACTATCTTTGGTTCAAACATGTTGTCTTTTCATGTTTACTATGATAATCAGGAAGGGGTTTAGAGATTAATGGCTGCTTCATTTATTTGTCTATAGAAGATCTATTGTACATGGGTCTTTATATGCATAGGTAGAACACTAGCAGCTGACTTAATGAGAATCTGTGAGGGGAAGAGTGCCGTACTATTGTAGACTAGGGACAATTCCTACTTGTATAAGAAGAGGCATTGGGATTTGCTTAGCATTGCTCACTTGCCCCAGACAGATTCCCCGGTGTGACATGTGTGAATTATGGCAGGAACAGTGCTTTTTTTCCTTTTCCAAATAATACATGTGAGTTTATTTGCTTGTAAGAATATATGCATTCCTAGTCTCATGAGACTTGTACTAAAATATTAACAATAAACAGTGTTATTATTGGGTAGTGGGATTTTGATTTTTTAATGTATTATATTTTCCAACTTTATGCATATATAATTTTTATGATGGGCAAGAGTGATAGTTATCCATTGAGTTCCAAGAAGTCCAGTGGAAAGAGTATCTAAAGCAAGTTACATGACCATGTCACTTTTTCTCTGCAGACACGTCAGGTTCTTGAAGAGCTGACTGAGTTGCCAGTGATGGTGGAACTAGCCAGTGACTTCCTGGATAGAAACACGCCAGTCTTTCGAGATGATGTTTGCTTTTTCATTAGTCAATCAGGTGTGTTTATGTTAAAGACATGAAGTGAAAGGGTGGGGGATTTAGCTCAGTGGTTTCGCCGCCTGCTGCACAAGTGCAAGGACCGGAGTTCGATCCCAGTACCAAAAAAAAAAAAGACCTGAAGGGAAAGAAAGTAATTTTTTTCTAATAATTCTAGTGTATCTTGGCAAAAACTAATATTTAAAGAAAGTGGTATTACAAATGTTAAATACAGATTACTTTAATGTTACATTCTTTAAGAATTAGTAAAAAATGAAGACCTTTTATGTTCAGAGAGCTGAGTTTACAAAAGCAGAAAAAAGATCCTAGAAAACATCTTGTTAAAAGTTTTATAAATTTAAGGGCCAGGGATGTAGCTCAGTGGCACTGTACCTGCCTTGAAAGCGCAAGGTCCTGAGTTCAATCCCAGGTAATTAAGCAAAAGTTTTATAAATTTATTAAGTGCGTATTTTATGCTTTGTGTGAAACAAATGATATAATTAAAAGTCTGGTCAATTTACTTTTGCATCTGAAAAACAGCAAATGCTAAACCCGCTCCATGTATTACTTCTTTGGTACCTTTTACACAGGTGAAACAGCAGATACCCTGATGGGTCTTCGTTACTGTAAGGAGAGAGGAGCTTTGACTGTGGGGATCACAAATACAGTTGGCAGTTCTATATCAAGGGAGACAGATTGTGGAGTTCACATTAATGCTGGCCCTGAGATTGGTGTGGCCAGTACCAAGGTAAAGTTTTTACTTCTGTGTCTAATGATTATGCAATCATAGAGTTGATGAAACAGATTGGTCTCTAGACCAGTATACATCTTGTTTTTTTTTTTTTTGTGAGCAGTTATATAACTCATATATTTTGCTAATCATTTTAAATATTATAATACTTAAGGATAAATAAATAATAATAGGCACAAGACTATCATCTCCTTCCTTCCCCCAATCTCAGTGTTTAAAAGGGAAAAATATATATGTGCACACTTTTGAAAGGTCTCCATTGGCTATTCCTATTCATCATTTATAACCTGGCAGGAACAATGGAATATATAGTACATTATATAGTATCTCCTTTTATCAAGGTAGTTGGGATTTAGAAAAACAATAGATTAGAAGTAATCTAGTTAATTCAAGTAATTTTCTGACATTTTTATTTATATAGTCCAAGTTTTCTTATAAATGTCCTAAAATGCACATACCATTTTTGAAAGTTTGTATGAAGGAATATCCCTTGGTGGAAAATATAGCAATTAGAAAAACAAAGATTTAAAAAAATTTTTTTAAATGAATATTGTATAACAGGATCTGTTTCTCTTTGGACATTACATCTATGGTTGTTTAAAGGACTTTGTTTTTAAGGCTTAGTAAAGCTACTTTGCTATTAGAAATTGAGATATGCATAAATTCAGTAATGGTAAACATATTGGAATTGTAGAAAGTAGTAGAAATACAAAAGGTTTATCTCTTTATAAGTATTATTTCTTTTCTGTTTAAGCCAAATACTCTTTGCTGATTATCTAATTAGATATTTGGGTGTTAGTGGTTTTGAGTTTAATTAAATGCTTGTGGAAGATGATGTTAACTTCTGTGTAACCACACGTGAATTTCTTTCTTTGTCAGAATCTCATGGTAAAGTTTTTGGTTGAAAATCGCTGATTCTTATGTTAGAACTCTGAGGCTTTTACTTCTTGGGCATGTTGATATTAGTATCACTATAATTTACTGAGAGCTGATCCTACAGTTTTCTCCATATGGTAATTAAATATGGAAGGTGTTTGTGCTTGGATTTCCATCCTGTGGCTGAATCTATACCCAGATGCACTCAGCAGCAGCTATGGATTTAGGGAACAGTGTTCAGACAGACAACTTTGATGGGATTGGAATCCCAGGGCTCCCTTATTCATAGCATGAAACAAGAGGTTTAGCATGGTGTATATGGGATATAAGACAATTCACATTTTATAAAATGTTTCTAGAATTGTGAGGTGCCAAGGGAAATACTTTTTTTTCTAATTCTTTTGTTTATGAGAACTTTTAATTTCTTTCACCATTTTAATATGATAACTTGCAAGCATACAGTGTTAAAATAATTGTACATTAATACCCAAATACCCACTTAGATTCTACCGTTAGTTTTTTTCTGAAGTTTTAATGTTTCTACTATAACATTCACTAATTCAGTATAGTTTTAGTAATTTATTTAGCTGTTGTTTAGTAATTTATTTAGCTGTGCAGCTGTGTAGCTATCTCCACAACTCAGACTTCAATAATATGACAACAGTCTCTTGTGCCCCTTTATTGTTAGTTCGTACTCCTATCCTCCAGCCTCATACCCAGCAATGATTGCTTTCTCTTGCTGTATTACATCATTTTCCAGACGTATTATACAATTGAATTGTATGATACATGTCTTTTGTACCTGGCTTCTTCTGTAAAGCATAAAGTTTTTAAGGTTCATTCATGTTATTATTTGTATCAGTTCTTTTTGCAAGTCCTTTATAAAATATCTTTTTATTTTGAAATAAGTGTAGATTTATAGGAAGTTGCAAGGTTGTATTAGTCAGCTTTACATTACTGTTAACAAAATACCCAAAGCAATTAACTTACGAAGAAAAAAGGTTTATTTTGGCTCACAGTTTTGGAGGTTCCAATCCAAAATTAGGCAGTCCCAGTGTACTGTGCTTCTGGCAGGGGTAGAATATTATGGCAGGAGCACATGGCAGATCAAACGGCTTACATCAAGAACTGGGATACAGAGAGGATCTGAGAGTCAGGAATTCCACAGTTTACTTGAGCGCATGGTGCTGGTGGCCAAACGACTTCCTAACTGTCTCACCATCTCCCAATAGGGACCCAACTTTTAACAAATTGACTTTGGTTGGGGGCATCCATCCAAAGATAGTACCAGTACAGAGAAGTCTCATATACTTACATCCAGCTTCCCCAATGCTTATTACCTCTTATATAAGGCAACAAGCATCATTTTATAGTGTATACATTTAAAAATGTGTTGAAAATTTAGTAAGTATGGCAAATTAGTATTATTTTCATTTAAAAAAAATTCTGAAGTAATTTTGTTTTTGAGGCAGGTGGCAGAACTTTTTTTTTTTTTGTGCTAGGGATCAAACTCGGGACCTTGAGCTTTCAAGGCAGGCGGCGGAACCACTGAGCTAAACCCCCGGCCCATAATTTTGTTTTCTTCAACTGTCTTAGACATTCTGGGCATGAGGCTATTTCAAATAAATTTTGGGATATTTAGTGGTAAAGACTATTTCTAAATGGTAGTTATAGGTTTATATGTTAATGGTCTGATCCCTGGGCTCAGTGATGATTCTGTGTATGAATTCTCAACTATACATGAAAAATGATCAGGATTAGAGGGATATTATTGACTTTCTTATAATGTCAGACCATAGAGAATTTGATATTTCTGTAGGAATTAATGGATATAAATGTACAGGTTCACAAATATTTTTATGTTATTGCAGGTGTTTAAATTTTTTATCACAGTGCTGACTTTTGTTGAATTTTAAAAAATATACCCATGTAACTTTGGTTTGGGCTGAATAAAAAGGAAAACCAAATTTAAAAGTTCAGAGTCAACATTTTCCTGGGAAGTTCGTTTAAACCTCAGCAGATTGGTAGTACACGATTTAGCTCATTTTTCTTCTAATTGGTTTCTTGGTATGTGTTGATGAAATGAAAAATATGGGGCCTGGGTATGGTTCAGTGGTAGAGTACTTGCATAGGATATGTGAGGTCCTGGATTCAATTTACAGTCCTGAACACAGAAGAAAAGAAAAGAGAAATGTGACACTGAAATTGGATATTAAGCAGTAATAGCAGTGCAGTGGAAAAAAATGTGTACCTTGAAGTTACTGTCTAATCTTTCACTTAAAAACTATTGTTGAAATGTTTTTAGTTCAAAGAAACACTAGTTTGTAGAATAACAGTTTTAGTGATGGATTGGAAGAACTAGAATATGACTTACTTGATCATTTTGAGTATCCCAGAGGTCCAAGGTGCTGGATCTTGCCCTCTGTCTTATAATGTATTTTTGTGTTTAATTGGTTTATTGAAAAGTAAGCTACAGAAAAAAGATTTAGACTAGGAGCACTGGAATTTAGAATATAGGTGTTTTTAGACTTGGAGACAAGAGATTTAAATCTCCGTGCTGTGGAAAAATAATTCTAACTTCCTGGTGGAACATAATAAGAATACAGGGACAAATACACAGTCCATCAAAAAGGTGTGTACATCAGGAAAAGAAAAACTTGTGTAAATATTTTAACACTAAATGTATTGAGACATTATAAGATTAATATGTTACCTTTGACCTGTACAATTATAAGAGGCACTCAAAGTGGTGGCCATGAGCTTCCAGATATTAATTCCTACGGCGAACTGCTGCTTGGGTAACCTTGGTCATTGAGATTGCTACATACGCATTTTCAATTTTTTCTGTAAGGGCCTGCAGTATAATGGATTTTCTGCAATATACGACATCCTCTAGGGTCCCCCATAGAAGAGTAACACCATCTGTTGAAAATGCATCATACTATTTTTTTTTTCTCTGAGGTGTGTATACATTTTTTGGGCAGATTTTGTAGTTGTGGAAGAGCAACTAGAAGTTGAGAAGTCCAGCAAGGGAAAATAGGGAGGGTCATTTAAGTTTTGGGAAAATAAATATTATAGACTGTCATTTTATTTTGAAGGCATCTCATTATGTAAATTATGATGGGAGAGCATTCACTAATAAAATGATCCATGAAGAACGATAGAAATTCAGTGTATATGGGCCAGGGATTTAGCTCAGTGGTTTTGCCGCCTGCTGTGCAAGCACAAGGACCTGAGTTTGATCCCTGGTACTAAAAAAAAAAAAAAAAAAAAAAAAGAGAGAGAAATTCAGTGTATAAAGACTAGTATGTTCTGAAGTTAAAATTACACATAATTTTACTATATATTCATTGATATTGTAACCTAGAATAGCATAATAATCTTAATGCTTTAATAATAAAAATGTTAATAAAATCTTCAAATACCTGAAACATAAAAATGTTCCTCTAGGGCCAGGGATTTAGCTCAGTGGTTCCGCTGCCTGCCTCACAAGCCAAGGACCCGAGTTTGAATTCTGGTACCAAAAAAAAAATTGTTCCTCTAAACAGTTATTGGCTTGGGCTGGGGATTTAGCTCGGTGGTGCTGTGCCTGCCTTGTAAGTGCAAGTACCTGAGTTCGATGCCAGGTACCGCAAAAAAAACCCCCACAACCTCCCCCCCCAAAACATTATTGGCTTAAAAATATATCAGAACTACCATTAAGAAAGACATCATTAGAAAAAATAAAGACAGTGAACAATAAGGGTAAAAATGTGGCCAAAGTGATAATTAAAGGTAAATTTATAGCATTAAGTCTTAATTTTTAGGTTGGGTGTGGTGGCGCATGCCTGTATTCCCAGCACTCAGGAGGCTGAGGCAGGAGGATTGCTGTGAATTCAAGGCTAGCCTGGACTAGATAGTGTGTTCAGAGCCAGCCTGAAGTACATAGCAAGACCCTGTCTCAAGAAACCAAAAAACAAACAAAAAACTATTTTTAAAGAGAAAATGAATTATTGAACTCAGAAAGTTAGAAAGAGAAAACCTAGTAAGTGACAGAAAAATGAACGAATGAACTGTAAAACAGAAAGCTTCAGGGCCTTCCTTTTAGCAAGCCTCAGCTGCGCTTTTGGAACCTTCCCATGATTTTACCTATAGTAGTGCTGTGACACAGAAGTAAAAAGGTGTCCTAGACTCTTTGTCAATGTGATGTTTCACTTTAACAAAAGGTAGCATTGGCTTTGTATGAAACCTATTTGATATTGCTGTTCTAGAAGTTCTATCTAGTTTAATAAGAAAAGGTAGTAAAACAATGGAAAAAGATGAAGCAAAATTCTCCTTTTTTATAGTTATGATTGACTAGTTGTAAAGCTTAAGAATATCAACTAGAAGACTTCTAAGAATAAATGAGAAACCAGGTGGTACACATGTGTAATTTTAGCACTGAGAGAGACTGAGGTAGGAGGATTGCTCAGAGTTTGAGGGCAGCTTGGGTTATGTAGTATATGTGCTGCCAAAGCAAGTACAGCCTGGGTTATGTAGTAAGTTCAAGGTCAGCCTGAACTACTTAGACCCTGTCTCAAAACCAAAAAATGAATAAATAAATATTCAATAAGTGCTATACATAAAACAAAATCTCTATAAACTGAAAATATCTACTTCAAAAGTAGTTATATATGCAAGAGGGGAATTCTATTATCAATGGCTATAAAAACTGAGTCAAAGTAACTACCAAGAAACACATAGGTGCTCCATAAATATTTTTGGATACAAACTATATTGCTTTATAGACTTAAATTCCTAGCACAGATTGATGAAAATGCTGTATTTCTGGATTGATTTTTTTTCTTAAAAGAAATGGCAGATCTGTGGGACAAAATCAGTAGTCCTTCAACTCTAGTACATCAAAGAACTTGGGCTATAGAAAATGCCACAGACCAGTAGAAAATGGAGAGAAAATTGGCTGCTTATGAAATAAGAACATTAACACCTTCACTTTCACTAAATGTAATTTCAGATAGACTGAAGGAAATATAAAAGATAAAATGGAACAGTGAAAACAATATAAGAATTTAAAAATATTTAACTGATTAAGATTCTAAGTACTACATAAAAATTAAAAAATAAGACAATATATTAATCATTCTGAGGAAAAGTACTTGAACTATAATATAAGAGGTTTTCTTAAAACCAGTTAACAAAACTCGGAAGACAAAAACCCAAGTTGAAAAACAACAAAGTTCTTAAAAGAAAGAATATAAATGGTCAACAAACATGAAGAAAAAAACCTTAATTTACCTGTAGTCCAAACTATTTAAGAGGATCATTTGAGGTGATGAGTTCAAGACCAGCCTGGGCAACCTAACTTTCTGAGCAAATCCAAAAATTTGAAGGGTAGGCAGGAAGGAATGACCACAGGCAAGCTGGAACTCACAGGTATGGGCCAAAGCTGCTATCTATAGTGGGGAATTCCTCTCTCCTTTTTCTTCTGTCTTCTTTTCTTCCATCCCTCTTTCAAACCCCAGCCTTTTACTTAAGGTCTTCCAATTGTATTTTCATCTTTTTTTTGGTACTGAGAATTGAACTCAGGGCCTTGTGCTTGCCAGTCAGGTGCTACACTGCTGAGCTATACCCCTAGCCTTCATCTTTTTTAAAAGTTAAAATTTCCAAGTTTTAAAGATGCAACTGCAGCTCATTCTCCTGCCTGTGGCGTTTCAGGCCTACACCAGCCAGTTTGTGTCCCTTGTGATGTTTGCCCTTATGATGTGTGATGACAGAATCTCCATGCAAGAGAGACGCAAAGAGATCATGCTTGGATTGAAACGGCTGCCTGGTATGGGAATATTTACATGTCCTTTTGTTTTAATGGAGTGGGTAATTCTTTTCTTTGTTTTTTTGGTACCAGGGATTGACTTGGGACCTTGCGCTTGCAAGGCAGGTGGCGGAACCACTGAGCTAAATCCCCAGCCCTCTCTTCTTATTCTTGAAGCTATTTAGTCAATAAGATCTTTTTATTTTTACTGCCATATATTAAAATTCCTTTGTGATACCGCAGAAGAATTGAAACGCTGGCCTTTTGTTGATTGCTAGCAATATATTATTGTTCTTATATCTATTTAAATTTATTATCCATTTTTTATAGATTTTGCTAATATTGATTTCTTATCAGATTTGATTAAGGAGGTCCTAAGCATGGATGATGAAATTCAAAAATTGGCAACAGAACTTTATCATCAGAAGTCAGTCCTGATAATGGGAAGAGGCTATCATTATGCTACTTGTCTCGAAGGGGCACTGGTATGGTTTTTTCATAATCAGTTTCAGTCTGTTGACTTATAGACCTGGCACAGCCATACTTTATTTTATTTTAGTTTAGTTTTGCTGTGCAGGACCTTCCACATGCTAGGTAAGCAAACCACTGAGCTACACCCCTAGCCTCAGCCATACTTTCAGAATGAATGAATTAAATAGATGGGGTTTTTTTATTTAAAGTGCTCTTTGTAGTGGATTGCATTTTTTTTCTTAAGACAGCATTTTGCTTTTGTACCTGGGAAATGAAGATTAAGTCATTTGTTAAAGATTAAGAAAAGAACAGTAGGGATAGATTTTCCAAGTACTCATTTGGTTTAGTGTTAACTGATATTGCTGTAGAACTTAATTCAAAAGTAAAAACTAAGAATAGTACAGTTTAGCATGATAACTTGTATTTAGCAAGTAAACTGGGTTTAAGTGTCATTCAAATATGAAATATGAAATTAGCAAATGGGAGAATGGTTACAGAGAAATATGAAAATATTCAAAATAATTTAAAACCTTAAAGAAGTCCTTGTGAAGTTTTAAAACCTTCAAATACTTGTTGATACTATAGAAATAATAATCTACTAACTTGTTAGCTATATTTACAGATCAGTGGTCTTTTAATGCTTTTGTATAAATTGTAACTTCATATATCAGATGTTTTGTGTAATATTTACTTAAAGATGAAATTTTGAAAAATATTTTGAAGTTCTATCTGGTTCTTTTTATTTAGAAAATCAAAGAAATTACTTACATGCATTCGGAAGGCATCCTTGCTGGTGAATTGAAACATGGCCCTCTAGCCTTGGTGGATAAGTTGATGCCTGTTATCATGATCATCATGAGAGATCACACTTACACCAAATGTCAGAATGCTCTTCAACAGGTAGTCTCCCGGCAGGTGAGTCACAGGCTGCTGTGAGGATACTTTGGGGTCAAGTGTTGAGTTATTAGCACTTATTTGAATTTCACTATTAAAATGATAGACCAGTGCCAGGTAGGTGACTTACAAAACATGTTTACGCTTGATAACTTATTTGATTTGAAATACGGCCGTTGAAGTCTATGAGATTTAGAGTTTTGACTCTTCTAGCTCATAGATCTCATAATAGATGGAACCAAGACTGAAACTTGGAGGTCATCTCCAAGACTGGGACTTCCCTCAGGCAAAACTGAAACCAAGACTGAAACTGAAACTCTTAGTTTCCAAATTCTGTCTTTTTAAAACTAGCATGTGCTGCTTCCTTTTAATTTAATATTCTTAAGTATTTTCAGAAGAAACTTTAACAGTTCTACATCAATATTATGAATGCTGTTCTTTTTTTTTGGTACTGGGGATCAAACTTGGGACCTTGCGGTTGCGAGGGAGGCGGTGGCACCACTGAGCTAAATCCTCAGCCCATGCTGTTCTTGTCTTTAGATCAGTTTGTTTTATGGGTGACCCCCAAAAGATAATACTCCCTAAGAACACCTGCATTTAAGTTATTTGTGTTTTAAAAAATTATTGACTCTCACAAACTTTTCATTTCCTTCACTGCCTAAGTGAGATCAATCATGGGAGTTTAAATATGTCTAGGCTGGGAATTTAGCTCAGTGGTACTGCTCCTGCCTCTCAAGTGCAAGGTCCTGAGTTTGATCCCCGGAACAAAACAAAATATATATATATATGTCCAGCAGTAAGGCTGTGTGTGGATTGTGCAGTACAAAACTTGCATATTCATATATGATAGCCCTGCATTGGCTTCCTTGTGATTGTGTCTGTGCATGTGATTTTCTTTCCCAGGGGCGCCCTGTGGTAATTTGTGATAAAGAGGATACTGAGACCATTAAGAACACAAAAAGAACAATCAAAGTGCCCCATTCAGTGGACTGCTTGCAGGGCATTCTCAGTGTGATCCCCTTACAGTTGCTGGCTTTCCACCTTGCTGTGCTGAGAGGCTATGATGTAAGTCATCTACCACACAAAAACCTTGGGATGGTTTTTTTACCTGGGTACATTCTGATACTTTTCCTTCCAAATTTTTAACAATAGCATTTGAGAAATCCAAATATATACCTGTTACTTGTATTTTTATGACCCAAAGATTTGTGTTACATCACATATCTACTTACTCATAGAACTGGAGCGAACCTAGGAGTGTCACTTGTAAGACCGAGACTCTCCTTGGGCAACCTCCACCTCTTTTCTTGGTTCTTAATAAGATAGTTGTTGACATGTGGAGTGGAGCAATTCTCTGTTGTTTATATCTCCCCCACGCATTGCAGGACTTTTAGCCCCCAATTATTGTGACAGTGCAAACATTTTAATCTTGTATTTCTAGTATCCCTGTGAGGGACACCACCTATCCAAGACCAAGGCATCTCTTTCTGTGTGTATTGGCATCCTTAGAATTATTTTTCCTAACTTTTTCAGGTTTCGTTAAGGTACATTATTTGATTGATTGTGTTGTGCAGTTTTTCTTGTTTGTTCTTTTTCTTTGTTTGCACTACTGGGAGTTGAACCCCCAAGGCCTTATGCCTGCTATCCTTAGCTCCTTTTGAAATTCATTTTGAGACAGGGCCTCACTAAGTCGCCCAGGCTGGCCTTGAACTTGTAATCCTCTTGCCTCAACCTTCTGAGTAGCTGGGATTATGGATGCACACCACTGTATGCTCAGCTTGTGGTATTTTTTAATTAGTTTATTTATTTATTTATTTATTTTTTGAGACAGAGTCTTTGTGTATTGCCAAGTGATCTTCCTGCATAGCCGTCTGAGTAGCTGGGTCTACAGGTGTCGATCACCAAGCCTGGCTCTAAACAAAGTAATTTACTTATAGCAAACCCCTTTCCCCAAATCTGTGTAATCTCTCAATCTTATTTTTTTGCAGGTTGATTTCCCACGGAATCTAGCCAAATCTGTAACTGTAGAGTAAAGAGCATCGGAAACTTGGGATGATTAAGCAACACAAGACACCTTTTGTATTTAAAACTTTGATTTGAAATATCACCCCTGGAAGCCTTTTTTAGTAAATCCTTATTTATGTATCAGTCATAATTATTCCACTAAATTTGTGATTTTTGTGAAATTGCCTCATATTTTTCCAGTACTGTGTGTGGGAGTTTGAATAATGAAATCTATATTAGAATCTGTATCCAGAAAGATTTTAGCTGTCATTTTCTTTAGAGAACTGGGTATTGAACTTCTGAGTCCTTCCCTTCCATCTGGGAGGATTATGTTTTTAAACTCTTATGTTCTTATGTTTTTAAACTCATTGGCATTTGTTTTACCAGGGTTCTATTCATTCAGACCAATGAAAGAGTGGTTCATTTAATTGGAGTATCTAAAGGCAGTGACAATGTATGCTAAAACTTGGACATTTACTGAAGGTTTCGCTAAGTTATATATAAATAGATACTGTGATTTATTTTGAAGCTTGTTCCTGTTTTGTTTTTAAATCAAATTGAAAACTTTTCTTGGTAGGATTTATATGTAAGTTTAATTACCTTATTTCTCAAACGTCTTTTATCTGTAAGTGGAACTAATTTAGGAAGCAAAATGTTATAGTAGTGCATTGGTGTTATCCAACCCTTAATAGAACATATGTACATAGTTTTATAGTACAGACTTTGAATTTGAACTGCTTTGGACAACTGACAATATGATTTTAAATTTGAAAATGAGGTGTTGGATATCCTACTCTTGTTTTTTCATTTCCTAAAAGTAGTTTTTATTTCCTTATATCTGTAGTTTTTATTTTTAAATAACTGTTGAAGGATATTATTTATCTCTTTTTTTTAATCACAACACAGAGCTGCTGTCAAATCAATACTGATATAAGTATTCTCTTCAATTTTGTCCCAAGGAAGAATTTTCTGCAGTTAATTTAACTTCTTCCATTTCATTGTTACATAACACTAATACCCAGTTTAGAACTTCCTTGCAATTATTTGGAAGATTTGCAAGTCTTTGACTAATCATTTGACTTTAAATGTGTATGGTAGGCTAGGCTCAGAAAGATAATATGCTTTATACTGCTATTAATGAAGAGTGGCATCAGTTGAGTGTTACTTCCTACGTGTTTCTTCTGAATGTATTTTCTGTGTTCAATCCCTGCAGTTAATCTAGGAATGAAGGTGCTGTTAATATGCATTCAGGTTAGCTAGTGTCAGTTTGACAATTTTGATTAAAATATTTAAAATAGTGTGATACCCCGTAATGTTACTAATAATTTCTTCACAGAGCTTTTTGGGCCAGATCTTGGGGGCTACAGAAGAATATATGTTATGGGGTTATAATTTGGTTAAGTCCTTTTCTTCAAAAATTTTCACTTTTAAATTGTGAAGGTGAAATATTTAGTATGATTATTAAGCTCAGTCATTTCTTCTTTTTGTATTTGAACTTCTTGATAAAGTTAAGATTTTGTAATAGGTATTATTGTTGCAAGAAAAGCACAGAATTCTGCTTGTGTTTGAGGGTTAGAGAAGGAATTGACATATTTTGAGGTAATGTAGAAGGACCTTCAGTGTTGGAGATAGAAACCTAATTGTTTTAGAAGATAAAGTCATTACATCTATTTAGCTACTATAGCTATTCTTAACTATTGTTTCTAAGATTATTTTGTATAAGCCTGCTAGTTTTAGTATGTGTGTAGTGTCACTTCTTATGTTTGGTATAATAGCATTTGACACACATGAATTGTATGGGTTTGTAGGATCTCTTTTAAATTATTTTAATGAGATAATTTTGTGTATCATTATGGGATACAGTGTGGTATTTTATTACATTTACACATTGTGAAATGATCAACTCAGGATGCTTAGGTTATCTATCATCTCAATCATTTATCATTTCTTAGTGATGAGAACATTCAGAGTCCTGTCTTGTAGCCACGTTGAGGTACTCTCTTCAGTGTTGTTGACTGTAATAATCAGTCTGTGTAATAGAATGCCAGAATTATTCCTCCCATCTGGTTGTGACTTTGACTTTGTACATGTTGACCAGTCTGCCCCTTCACACACACATTCCAAGCTAGGGTATGTTCTAAACTGAATATAGACCAAAATAAAGAACAAAGTGGTATTTTCCAAATAAATATGGTTTCTCTTCCCTCTTTTTTCTTGCTTTCTACCCCATTTAATGTAATGGTTTTTAAATGCTTTTATAGAGTAATTCTTAATACAAAAAATATTATAATTAGGCAAGCCACTGAGTGAGCATACCAGCTAAAATCACTGTAATATAGGACACAAAAATTTGAATTTTCAAAAGAAATTCTCTGAAAAAATATTCCTTTATATAAAAAGTTCTGTCTTGTAGTGCATTTGAAGTTTAAAATCACTCACATATTATTACTGTTTTAGGCAGGTGGACATGTGTAGTATCTAACACATGGCCCAGTAAATGGTTATTACTTTGAAGTTAGCTTTTCTGCTTTTTTTTAATCACCAGGAGTAAAGATCATAGAAAAATTAATGTTAATTATTTTTAATTTATCACAACTATTTCAACAGGTGTTTATTCATACCTATTATGAGCAAGTCACTGTTTTAGGCATTAAAAATAACATCCTTAGAGCCAAGTCATTTTGCTTCCAAGTGGCCTCATTACTTGTGAAGACTGAGTTCACAGGAAGGCACAGGATAAGAGTGGGAAGATGGAGGTGAGCTGAGTTTTTAATGCTGTGAGTGAGTGGATTTGTTTACTTAAATAATAGTTCAAATTTTGGGATATATCATTTCATAAGAAGTGAAATGCACTTGTTCAGTAAGCTATCATCACAGGCTATAAATGATACATTCTCTATGGTACTCTAAAGCAGCAGTCATTAATGTACAAAGACAAAAAATAAAGGTTCTTGCTCAAAGGGAACTGGCACAGGATGATGTGTAGATTGGCTGTTGATTGAGTGAGCTAATACAAGCTTTTTCTTTTAGATATTTTAGCAGGTGGCTTCTGTAAGGAAATTGTCATCTTATTTTTGAATCTAGGTCTCTCATCCTGATTTCCTTCTGTTTTTGACTCCTTGGTAATAGTCCTCTGACATTTATTTCTATTACTCTTCAAAGAAAGAAAACCAGCTGAAGTGTTTGCTTTAACATGTCTTAAGTCCCTTGGAGATCAGTTTTTTCTCTTCTTTTTTTCAGTTAGGATATTCTATAGCAATAAAAGAGGAAGACTGATGGTACCTATTGATTGTATGCTACAATTTAAGTGATTTTTTTAAAAAAAGCACAATACCTTTGAGAAGTATTTATTGAAAAATGATCATAGTTCACATTGATTTTGGGGAGGCCAAAGAAATTTAATAGAATGATAAAGATACTTGTTTTACAATATCCACATGTTTAGTACATTTTGTGTATGAGAATACCAGGCAGAGTATTTTCCCCATGGAAATAGATTTAAGATTTATTTTTACTGTTATTAGAGTCTCAAGTTTAGAAGTTTTAACACATAAATCATTTTCCCCCACTATATTTAAATGTTACGAATTTAAACGTATCTTTAAATTTGGGACAGTGACAACCCAGTAATATTGAGAGTTAAAATTATAGTTAACTCACAGAATTGTTAAATTTTACCATATTAACCTGTAAGTCTGTAAGTTTGGTATCAAAATTTATGTAATAAACCATAAGTAATGGCTAATGAGAATATCTTAGGAAATTCTTAAATTACCTTGGTTTCTACACTGGTTTTCAGAATGAATGTAGAAATGATCTTGTTAGCTTTTTGAATGTTCTGTAGTTGTATGTGTTTTTGCTTAAATAAAACTTCTGGTATTTAAATTATACTTTTAGGGGAGGGGTTAGAATCATCTTTGCTTTGTTTCTGTTTTGTGTTCTTTAAAATGAAAGTTTAATTTTCAGAGCGAGTTGGTTACTTTGTCCTCTCGTCTTGTTAAGTCCAGTGACTCTAAGCTAGAACTGTGAATAAATTACCAAAAACTTGCTGAGAATTTCATTTTGAAGCAATTTGCCAATATTTGAAGTTTATACACACACACACACACACACACACACACACATATATATGTATATGTATATATATATATATATATAGTGGTTTTTAAAATTATGCTGTACTAAGAATGTAGGCAATGTTTTACATTAGTTATTAGTAAACATTTCTGATACTGAAAGGTTCATTACTGTTGCTTTTATAAATAATTATACATAAGTGTAAGCAAAATACTAAAAGCCACATGTCTCTCTACACCAGATTCTCAGTTGTTCTGGAAAGGATCATCATATATGGCTATGTACTCTTTCTGATATCATACTCTATAGGTACTATACCTTCTCAAATTACCTTAATTTTTTGTAATAATCTGTAGCAAATTTCCAGGGTTATGCTAGGATTAAAACTTTTAAGTGCATCAGTAGTTGTAAAAGAATATATACGGGAGTGGCAAGACAATCTAAAGTTTCAGTGTACCTGTCAATCTGTTAATTATAGAACAAAGATCCCCTTTACAGAATCCTTTCATAAACAGCGAGCTAGACTCTTTCCCTAGTGGGTACAGCACTTGCTCTGTTTTGCAGGAGACTCAGACTAGTGTGGTTCAAATGAATAGATGTTCTGTCTGGCCTGTCCACTCAGTGAGGTCTCTGCATCCTCTCATTCCTCCCTCACGCTCGCACTCCCCCTCTTCAGCAAAGCCTCAGATTGCCTCACCAGTGTGCATCATTTTTTCCACAGGCTTCACTTCCGATATAAAATTGAGCTTTACTTCTACTGAACAGTTTTTGGTAAATTCTCCTGAATTGACTCTAAGTATTCACTGAGTGTTTAATAAAGAGCAAGAAATAATTTCTCTAAAAAGTAAAAGGCCACTTTTCATCACGTGGCCTTTAGAGAAAAAAACAGTTCTTTAAACTTTTTGGATAAGGGAAAGAAGTACAGATTAAGTTTCTTATTAATCTATAGGCCAATATGTCTCATTTTTTAAGGTGTTATAGGAGCATTATAAACTTAATAACATCTTGGAAATAAAAACTAATAAAAACTAATCTTGTGCTTATACACAGAAAAATAATCAGATTATGAGTTATTTAGTCAGCTCATCCTTCCCAGAAAGTATACATGTAGTAAGATAAATTCATTCTCTTTTTGGTGAGCATGTATGAAACAGATTATTTTAAGATTGAAAGGCATATTTGTGAACTTCATGGTACATGATTCATTGCTGACATTCTAAGGTTTGCCTATGTATTTTCTCATAGAGAATGCTGCTGTGTAACCATATTTTCCTTTTTATGTTTCAGAAGACATTGAATATGAAGTATGGATGTGTAATTAAAAATATGGAATAAAAATGGAGCTTTTAAACAGAGAAATACTCTCTGGATTGAATTATAGTTTCTCCATTTATTTATCAACCTGACTCTATATGTGTAAAATTAAAAAGTCTGTGATAATTAGGATGAAAATAAGTGGCATATTTTCATGTTTTTAATTTCTGGCATATACTGAGTGATATAGAAGCATTCAACAATTTAAAAACCAAAGCTACCAAATAAGTTGTATAATGAAATTCATAAACATAAAAATTTAACAGCTGTTGTATATTCTTGGGTTCTTTACGAGTTAATTTTTACCTCTGTCACCTTTGTATGTTTTGAAATGGAGGCACATAGTGAGATCTTGGGAGGCAAATTGTGAGTATTCCCAAGCATAAAATACTGAGAATTTCAGATCCGTTATACCTAAAGAGCAAATGAGGGAAGCAGTATTGCTTTACTAACAAACTGCTTTGTCCTTAACTTACATTTTCCTAATTTGTGAGACTCAAAGGTTGATATGCATTAATAGTATGAGATTGTCATACAACATACAAGCTACAGAGACTTAGATGTATCCAGATCACTATAGTTTCTGCCTTTAGCTCCCTTCCAGGTGATGTTGTGGTCCTCATTCTAATATGGCATCAGTTATTGGTGTTTTTGGATGCCAAATTCAATGTGAGATGGACAGATAGAAAGCTTAATATATTGTCTTTAATGCCTTACTGGGAAGGAAAATGTCTGAGACAATAAAGGCTTAGATTCTAGGCAAAATAAAATTGCACTATATCTGAGTGTTTTTCTGTTAGACCTGAATATATCTAGCCAGTTTGACTTACGGAGTTAAAAAAAAAAAAGCCCTGTTGTATTTTGTATGTAGAATTGTTTTGAAGTATCAAGCATATTTGCTTTGAATTTTATCTTGTGCTTTCTTTTTTTATCCTTTGAATAAAATGTAAACCCAGTATTTGTTTTTTAAAAAATTAACTTGCTTTCATTGCTGGATTTCCTTGCTAGATTTTCATTTTGTTCTTTGTTAACTTAGACCTGTGTTTTGTGATTAAAATTTAAAACATTTCTTTGAAGAAAAACATGACAAATTAACTTTGAAACTTCTTCACATATGTAGTCTTTTTGAGTTCATTAAGTGAAGTGGGAAAATATGCTTGCCTCTGAATACACAGTTGGTGCTAATGACGCATTAGGAATATAAAACAATTTGTGTTATTTTCTCAGCAGAGATAGGTTTGTATAAATCAGTTTGCACATTTCTAGTTCTTCATGGGACAAGACACAAGAATGAGGGGAGTGATGGGTTCCCCGGAGAAAAACTAGCTGACTAGCATATATACTGGTTTCTAAAACTTGACCTTTCCTGAAGTGTGACATTCATAAGTTAATGGGTCTCAACCCCGTTGGTTTCATATGCTGAAACTGAGTAAGAGGAGTTCTTTTTGTTTGTTTTTTGTTAATTTTTTTTGAGATAGGGTCTCACTATGTGTTTCAGGCTGGCCCTGAACTCATTATGTGGTCCAGGCTGGCCCTGAACTCCTGGCCATCCTCCTACCTCAGCCTCCCAAGTGCTTAGATTACAGACATGAGCCACTAAGCCCAGCAGAGCAGTTCTGAAAATGTTGAAAACCCTCCTCTCCAAAAATAGGGATGATTCTTAATTTTATTTTAAAAATTAACCCAGAAGGCTTGCCTTATGTGCAAACAGAGCACCTTGAACTTTGGATCGTTGTTTACAGGGAAAACCCCTTCCCAGAATCCAACAGCCAGCTCTTGCTTTCCACCTTCTCGCCCTGTGCTGCCAGTGTTCTGGGTATGCTGGGTGTTCTGGTCGTAAGAGTAGACATGTGGAGAAGTGAACCATGCTTAAACACAATTCTCGGTGTCTAAGTACAGAGAACTTGCTGTAGTAGTTGCCCAATTAAATACTTGCTAGCCAGAATTATACTGTGAATAGCATTTGTAGTCATTTTTTTTTCTTTTAGTATGTTTACCTGTGTTTAGTCAAGAAATCAGAAATCACTGTTGGGATTTCCAGTAGGATATGATTTAATATGGAGAATTGGGCTTACATGACCTGAAGAAAGGCAAGTCAGAGAAATACTATGCAATCTGCAACTCTGGGAATTACAGGGAGCTACCTGTTATGGTGCAGCACCACAGTGAGTGGTTTTCAGATACCTGGAAGGCATTGGCAAGTCCCTCATTAGCTGTGTGATGATGCCCGTTAACCTGATCACAGTTACCTTTGGGAAATACTTAATTTCTACCCCTCTTAACTTAAATTGTGTTCATATGGCTCTGGTTGGTAACATGTAATTGGATTGTGTAGATGAGAGTCCACTAGAAGGGTGGGATAATACAGAATCTTCAGGAGATTCTGTCCAGCATACTTCACATTTTACATTACATAGCATCTACCATCCTTTTATCCATGTTTAAATTTTCAAAGAACAAAAACCATCACGATTCTGTCTGACATACAGCATCTATCCATATTGAAGAACACCCTTTTCCCAAGAATAGATAAAGAAGTTCCACAATTTACACTCTCCATCTGTGTGACACTTATTTTACTTGATACTAAAGTCTTATATAATGTTAAATGGAGTAATTGGAAGAAGAGAGGGGAAAGCTAAAACCAAATAAAGTGAATTATTCATTGCTACTGAGGTCCTTATTTTCAGGTGTTACTACTACATATAGATGTACAAATATATATGCATACATTTTCCCTTCCATTACTCATTTGGTGTGTGATTTATCATCACCCAGCATTCAGGTGGTTGTATTTCTTTGCCAGGTCTTTTTACTTCTCCTCTCATTTTTAACAAGGCTGAAACACCTCCCTATTTTCCCCATCTTTGAACATAAACTTAAGGCCCATGTGTGAAAAAAGCGTCAGCAGAAATGTATGGCAAATAGATATCCAGAGGAATGTCCTAGCTCAGAAGACTTAATGCTGGATAAATATGAAGGGAAATTATTCAGTTACATAGGTGAGTTGTCAAGAAAGAGGAATTTCAAGAAACAACAACAACAAAAAAATAGAGAAGTAACAAGTACTAACACTGATGGGAATAATTGCTGACTAGAGGGGGGCATCTGCTAGTGACTCGTGGGCCAGATCTATTTTAATGGGTTATGTGGGGGACACAAGCTGGAGAGATGGAAAGTCTGAACAAGTAGGACATAACACTCTTGGCAAAGTAAACCAGGAAATAAAGTATGACAGAGATGGATATGATAGGAAAAATGCAGACCTCCTGTGAGAATTCTTTACAACAGCTAGTTTCCATGCAGGTTTGTGTAGAACTTTGCCCTACCCATATGTCCAGAAAAGCTGCAGACAGTTTATGTTACAGTGATCATGAGTTGATAATGCCCCTATGCACCTGACAAAAGCAAACCCAAATCTTTTCTGGAGGAATGTATTTTAAACACAGACCTCTGGCATTCTCATAAGTGTCCCAAGAAACAAGCTGAGAATCCAAAAATATAAATGTGCCATAAGTGAGAAAAGAAATGACAAAGAGTCACATTTGCAAAGATAGCAAAAGTATGTCAGAAGCAGTATGAGGAATCTAACATGGCAAAGGAGTAAAAATGATAAGACAACTTCAGGAAGAACTAAAAATGAACTATAATAGTTGAAATTAGGATAGATAAACACCCAGTTAAAAAGAGAATTTGTGAACTGAAACCGAGGTTAGAAGAATACAGCATTTATTATAGAGAATGGTAGAAAAGGAGAAGCTAAAAGTGAAGGCTTATGGACTTTTAAAAGAAATTTCCTAGTCCAGATTAAAGGCAAATTTAGAATTAGGGTCCCCAATAAATCTCAAGCAGGTTAAAAGAAATTTTGTATTTAGAGAGATTGTTTTTAAACTGCAGAACAAAAGACAGAACTTAAAAACACATAAAAGTAACCACAGTCAATAATTAGAATGATAGTTGAGCTCCCAGTTGTAACAACAGAAATGAGGACAGTGTAATAAGTCCAAACTGCTGAGAAAATAGGACCTTGTGGTGCAATGGTGGTGTGTCTTGACTCCAAAGTACTTTGAAAGTAACTGGTAAAAATGAATAAATATGTGTCGGACAAAACTGGAGTTTCTCATTAAAGAATCTTTAAAAGATAAATGTTGAGATGGTGAAAAATGATTCTAGAAAGGCTTGACATACAAACAAAAATGAATAGTGAACAAAAACCAAAACCAATCTTGTCAAGTGAGAGTAAATACAAAGCATTAATTTTATTGGTACATGTTTGAAGTGCATATTTCTTACACTTCTCTTGGGGAGTTGGTGCATGTACATTACATTTCTTAATTCTTTTAATCCCCTCCACTTCCTTTCTTCCCCTCCACTTTCCCTCCACTTCCCTCCACCACATCTCTTGGACCACTTCATAATTATAAATATATATATCATTTTAAAACATGTTTGTAGTACATTATGATCATATTCCTTGTAGGGACTTAGTGCATATACACAGCACTTCACAATTCCCTCCCTTTTTTTTTCTTTAAAAAAAAATCTTATTTCAGTAATAGTAATTTTTTAAAGGAGTTATTAAACAATCTATAATAAACTAAAATGCTATACCATAATGCAACTTGTGAGTGGGTGATCTGAGCTAAAATATTTTAAAGCCCTTTTTGTTATGTGGTTAGGGGCATAGATAATAACTTTGGACTTTGTTTAGTTAAATATGCATATTAAATTACTGTTGATTTGTTATTGTGTTGCTAGGGTAGAAACTGGGGCCTTATGCATGCTAGGCAAGCCCTCTACACTCACAATCCTGCATGCTAAATTTTAAATGAAAATTAAAAGGTTATAACTAGAGAATGTGGTTTCCAGTGTGACAGAAAGAAAAAAATGGAATTTAAATAGATTCAAATACATTGCTAATTATGGCAACAAATAAATGATACATGTTTAAAATATAGGGACACAGAAAAGTAGCATGTGAAGGGATGAGGAAAGGTATACCAGTCAAATGTGAGTCCACAGAAAGCTGAGGAGCTACATTAGCACCCCCAGATGGACTAGAAAATGGTGTGGCTGCTGTGGAAGTTTGGCATTTTCTCAAAAAAGTTAGACATAGACTGTTATGGTTCATATCTGGATGTTTCCCCAAAGCCTCATATGCTCAGAGGTGGGACTTGTGGAAGGCGATTGGATTATAGGGGCACTGCAGCTGGATTGGTGTTAGGAGGTGGGGTCTGGCTGGAACAAGCAGGTCACTGGAGGCATGATCTAGAAAGACATATCTCCCTCTGTATCTCCACCTTCACTCTCTGCTTACTGGCTGCCATGAGGTGCGTAGCTTTCCCTTTGCCAGACCCTTTTACCATGACTTTCCGTCTTGGAGCTGGCCAACTATTAACCTAAAACAGCCCAAATAAACCTCTCTTCCTTTAAATTATGGATCTTGGGTATTTTGTCCTAGCATCAAGGAAAGTGACTAAGACAGAATATGGTGTTAGAGAAGTGGGATTGTTTCTGTGACTACCTGACCATATGGTAGAAGTCTTTGGAAGTCTTTGCAGGAAGTTTGGGAAAATTTAGAGAGCCAAGCTGACTGGGAGATTCAGAAGACCAGAATACTGATAGCAATGCAGATAGTAAAGAGCAGGAGCAGGAGGTTCCAGTTGGGAATGAAGACTGCATGGGTAGCTGACTCCAGGGCATGTGTGTTATGCTCTGGCAAAAAATTTGTTTACATTTTGCCTATGTCCCGAAACTTTGCAGGAGACTGAGATTAAGGGTAGTGGACTAATTAATTTTGCAGAGAAAATTTCAAGGCAGCTCAATGTTCAGGTTGTGGCATGAGTATTGTTGGGGGCTTTTAGTTAGCTCTGCATTAAGAGTCAAGAGCAAATGGCATTGTCACCCGTTGACATCAGACTCCAGATTCTTCAGCCTTTGAATGCAGACATGTACC